TGCTGGGTCATAGGGGAGCTCTGTTTTTAATACTTTGAGGAGCCTCCATACTGTTTTCCAGAGTAAGCCTGTCTTTTGAAATGCCAGTAAGGTATGAACACCAGTAACTCACGTGGGGTAGGCCACGGCCACTCCCTGCATCAGAAATGACTCTTCTTTCCCTGCCACATGTTCCTGCCATTTTTCCTTGTGTTGGATGCAAATCCCTGAGTTCTGTTGTTCCAGAACTTGTAATTCTTGGCACAGTGGTTCTTAGTGAGTCTCTTTCTTCTGTGGCACTCTCTCCCCTCTCCCCTTCTTTGGAACTTGAGCTTTTCACCCCTTTGTTACATTTGTTCATTCCATTCATTAAAAAAAGACTCTGGAGCCGGTGTTGGGGCAGGTGCCATGTTGGGTGCTGGGCCCCAGCCCGGAGGGCTCTGTCCTGCCTTCTGGGGGGTACGGTGGGGGACTTCACCAGTGTGTGTCTGGTTCTGTTGTGTCAGGTCCCTTCACCCCGCCGCAATGCGCTCCATGAGGACACAGACTTGTGTCTTGTCGCAAGGATCCAGCCTTGACATTTCAGCGCACGGCAGGCAGCACATTCTTGGAGACCGTGGGCTGAGTTTGGAGGTGGATGCTGAGGATTTTAAAGTTTCTCCTTCCCAAGCTATAAGATGAGGTAACTGCCTTCCTTTTCTGGAGGGTGCGGTTAATAGAAAATGTGATCATATACATGCCCGCCCTGTAGAAAGGCAGGTAATATCTCAGGGGAAGTTATCACCCACCTTTGTTTCCTGTTCCACTTATTTTTGTTCTCATTGTCTCTGAGCCCGTCTGTACCACTGGCTTCTGCCCTCTCTGCCCGCCCTGCTGTTTCCTTCCTTCCTCAGAGCTGGGGGAGGGGTGAGTAAAAACTCCTCTGTGTGTTGGGGGCGCCTGGATGGCTCAGTCAGTTGAGCGTCTACCTTCAGCTTAGGCCATGGTCTCCGGGTTCTGGGATCGACACTGCATCGGGCTCCCTGCTCAGCGGGAAGTCCGCTTCTCCTTCACCCCTCCCCTGCTTTCTCTCTCTCTCTCTCTCTCTCTCTCTCACATAAATGAATAAAATTTTTTAAAAAAGAAGAGAGACCGCCACTGCCCCTCTGTCAACATGGGGACGATCTCCACATGGAGAACTTGACTGCACACTTGGCAGGAACACCCGCGCTGTGTGTTCATGAGCTTCTCTGTCACTTCTGTTCCTCGAGCACACGTGTCCTTCCCGAGTCATAAGCATCCAATCATAAGAAAAGTGTCTTCTTAGATGAAAGCCGGTACTGGAGCCCCTGCTGCACTGTGTGGGTCCAGGGGACTGATAAAATCACAGGATTTGCACACGGAGGCAGTCTCCCCTCTTTGTAATACCTGGTTGACAATGCCGTAGCATCGGTGCAGAGGTGCAGTTTTTGGTGAAACACAGCTTGGGCCAGTTTGGGGAGGGCAAGGGACAAAACTGAGTCCCGAGCAGCAGGAGGTGCTGAGTGTCTTTGCTGATGTCAGCATCTTTTTCCCCCTTGCCCTTTGACCATTACAAAAACAAAAAAAGGGAGAATCTGGTGAAGGGCAGGGAGAAGATTCTAGTAACATTGTGGCAGAATCCTGTCTTCTTTTGAAGGGCCTTAATATGCAGTAAGTTAAGTCTCCCCTGAAAAGCAGTAACATTAATCTTTTTGGGCCCAAATGTTTGTTTTTTATTTCCAACCTTAAATTAGAGGCTCTTCTCTAGGTAGCAGAGTCTTCTAATAACGACATTATTTACTGAGTTTTCTTCGTTGTGATGAAAACAAAACAGGGAGCTGCCCTCCAAGATGAGCTGAAACTCCTCAGGAGGTGGGAGGTGGCGGAGGTGGCGCTCAGTTTACCGGCAGTCAGGTTACTGGTGGTCAGATTCAGGGAGCAGCTCCTCCCTCCGTGGGAAGGCTGGCACTTCCTTTTTTCCCCTTTCACAGATCCCTCCTATGCCAGAGCCTTAAGCCATTTAACTCCACTTCTGGGCCTCATTGTTTATTCAGACTCATCACTGTGTAACTAAATGGAGAGAAAATTGGTCATAAATTAATGGAACGGCAGAGAGAACCCTGTTGGTTTAGCTGACAAGCTGCCAGATGGAAGAGGAGGAAACACCCGGGTCTAGCACAGGTCCCTGTGCTTAGTCGAGTTCTCCCTGAGCCGAAGAGTCAGTCGGAGAGATGGCGCAGGCAGAACGTGTGTGTTTATTAAGTCAGCCAGCACCTACAGAGTGCCTGGTGATGGGGCGGGGACAGTGACCTTCCCACGGCACCCTCATCCTGGAAGAGGTGATGGGCCATGTGGAGGAGAGAACAGGACTGCTCATGGTCGTGCGAGAGATTTGAGCAGGAAGGCAGCACTAAATCCTAAATTCTGGTTTGGCCTGGGAAGGAAGGGCTTGGCCTGTTTCTTACAGAGGTGAATCTTGAACTAGATCTTTGAGGAAGGGTGTTAACCAGGTGGATGAAGGATAGGGATAGAGGAAGGAATGGCCATAGGCGTCCTCCAAAAAGTCATTTCCGCAGGTCTTCGCAAAAACGACAATCCTTATTTTGAGACTCTCTTAGCATAGCAAATGTAGGGGTCTGTGTCTGTTTTTGTAAGTGAAGTTTTGTTGGAACCCAGCACACCTTTTCATTCCCCTGTTGTCTGTGGTTGCTTTCCTGCTACAATCCAGAGTGGCGTAGCTGGGGCAGACACCGTGTGGCTTGCCAAGCCTCAAATATTTACTATCTGGTCCTTCGCAGAAAAGGGTTGCCAACTCTTGGCATAACATATTGTTATTCCTTGAAAGTCTTTTTGAAAAGGATCCACACCGTCAGTGGCCAGGCTTTGATGGCAGGCCTTCCTGGACTTACTAGTTTATTTTACCAGCCAGTGATTTCTCTTCAGTCCACGCCACCCGACCTCCAACTCTGTAGTCTCTAGTTTCCATAATTTCTGGCTCTGAATGTCTGGAACTAGAACGGTGCTTAGAGTGTGGAGAGGAAGGGGGGCATGTCTCCCTAAGCATCCCCTTAAATGTCCTGTTACCCCGACCCACAGCTGTTTCAGACTCTGCTTACTTTCTTGGAACCTGTGCTGCTTATTTGCTTGGTAAATTTGCCAAGCAAAATCTGAAACAAATATAGGATCAGCAGTCCTTGAAAGGCATCTCTGTTCTTTGGGGAGGCATCTGTTAGTGGGTTCTGGAGCTCTCTGTCCCCTTACAAGTGAGAGAGAGAAGGAGGGAGCTCTAGGGAGATCTGCCACCTCATGCCTGCATTCATTTCAAAGCCACAGAGAATGTATTTCCAGAAGATCTGTGCTTTTGAAATACTGCTTTCCTAGATATACTGAGTGTACATTGTGTGGAATTACATAGCAAATGCCAACTTTTTAAGCACCTACTATGGTCTGCGGTGAGAGTCTGCTGTCGGGAGTGCCAGACTAGACTTTCTACAAATAATTAACTTACTAAGACTGAGATGAAACAGAGATGCACTTATTTCAGTTTTACAGACAGAAAAACAGAGGCTCTGACAAGCTAAGTATCTTCTGTGTTAACTACTAAATGACACTGCCTGCAATCCATGATGAGGAGGATATTGATTTTATGCTCTAGTTATCCGAGGAGCAGGTAGAATGTTCATGAAAACGCTGAATCAAGAGGTGAAGAATCTATGTTTCAGACTGTCAAAAGAACTAATTTTCAAGGACAGGTACAGCTTTTGTTTTAGCTCCAGCAGCTACCAACCTCGCTTAAATACCACTGTCGAATGATACTGTGGTTTGGGATCTAATTTCTCATTAGCACTTTGTATAGAAAATTGTTGGCAGTAAGTAATGGTGACATTTTCCAAGCATGTCTGGAAAATATTGTTGGTCCCCAAAGAGAATCATGTAGGTTTAGTTGTCCCAGTTTCCAGCTGAAATGAGGATTCCTAAACATCAGTCTGATCTTAACCATTCCCTTCTTAAAAGCATTCAGTGTTCTCCTGTGTCCTTTGCTCAAAGATTAAAATATTCATCAGGGCACTTGCTGGAGGCCTTTCCGGTTTGGGCCCTGCCTGATCTCCAGTCTGACCACTCAGTACCGCCCACTTCCAAATTCCACTTGGAGTGTGTCCCTGCCTTTGGAGCCTCCCCAAGTCCTTGGACACCGTCTCTCCATGGCCCTTTCACCTGATGCACTCTTGCTTCATCTTCCCATCTTAGCTGAGATGTCACTAGATCCAGGAAGCCTTCTTTGAGCCTAGAGACTGGAGTGGGTGTCCTTCCCTTGGTCTGCCCTCACATCATGTGTTTACACTGCTGCTTAGTGGTTTACGGATCTGGCTGTTGGCTACCACTAAACAAGTAAGCTTTTTAGTTTCTTTTTAGTTTTGACTCTGTCATCAAAAGGAATAGGAATCCACTTGAGCTGACTCATAGAAGGGGAGTTGACCTGTGAGGAAATATGTGAAGCAGTAAGGAGACCTCTGCAGAAATTTAAGAACCAGGTCCATAAGGAGCTGTCCCTCGCAGATGTGTCTGGCGGCCTTCTGTACTTCTCTGTACACCGGTTTTGTTTGCCTGTCTTTAGCCGGCCGCTCAAGCACATGTCCTAAAGCTGCCCCTGACCTCAGTTTGTCTGCGTAGCCTAGCATGGCCCTGCCAGCCCTCGTGGTCTCTCCCAGTCTCATGGCTCTGTTGCCTGGTCTCCATTTGCATTCTGTTCCAGTTGCAGATTTTCCAGCAAGCACTGTGGTTGGTGTAGCTCATCCTTCCGAGCGAGGCCACATGCCTCGTAGGTCTTTGGCCATCCGGCAGGTGGGTCCTCGCTGCAGACCAACTGGAGCCGTGGCCCTCTGGAGGGTTTTCATGGGTCAGAGCCTTGCTCTCAGTATAGACTCCCTTTTTCTGTTTCTTTCCCTGCCCCTTGCTTGCAAGGGTGTTAGGTTTGTGTTTCATGAACTTTATGGTATCCTTTGTTCTCTTTCGTCTTACAGATATCATTAATGGAGCTCAAGAAAAATGTGTATTGCCTCCTATGGATGGCTACCCCCACTGCGAGGGGAAAATCAAGGTAAGGCAGAAGTAATGTCTGTTCATCCCCCCATCTTCAGTCTGCACCGATAGCCTCTTCCTTCCTCTCCCCTCTCTGTAACTCCCCAGTAATCCAAATGGCAAGCAAGCTCTTTAAGGAGCTCATTTCAAGGGTGCCTCAATCCTGCCAGTTTGGGACTGTGGCCATGACAACCCTTGTCTGCTTATGCCAACTCCGTGGGGTTAGTCAACAATGGGTCTAACTGGTGAGACTGAAAGAGCCTGGGCCACTTTGGGCACCTGCTGTGTCTTTGAAGCGCCTTCCCCTGGCATTCCCAGCCTCCAGCAGGTGATCCTTCAAGGGCCATTGAGAAGGGGCTGCCATTATGTGGGGTCCAGCCTCCCTCTCCCCCAGTACCCAGGCCCCAGCCATGAGGTCTCCAGATTGTGATTTAAATGTCACATTAGCATTTGCAGCTGAGTAACCAGAGATCCTTGGACACTCTTTCACTCTTCACATTTTTTTTTTTAAATCCCTTTTTATATGGCCTGCCTGAGGGAGACCACTCCCCTGCTCAGCAGTTTTCAAAGAAAAGTCTTGGTTCTAATATATACTTAGGATGGTGAGACCACAGCCCAGAAGCATCGGCATGGTTCCTGTTCGGGACTCATGCATGCCATGCACACCTTGCAGGCCTGCATTCACGGTCTCTGTTCCAGGCCCGGTACTGGAGCTCGTGAAACTACAGCTCTCTAGGGAGAAGGGTTTTGACACAAGGGTCCCCTCAGGCAGCTGTTTTTGATAAATGTCCCCTGGCCACTGGCTGTCCTGGGCTTTACTGCCCCATATGTCTTGCAGCCTTCCTCTATCCTGAGCACCTCTGCTGAGGCCCAGCTCAAGCCAGTGTCTCCCTATAGACCATCTGGGAACTGGGCATCTGTTGTCCCGACCTCAGCTCAGTGACTCTGAGCCTTAGGCCCAAGTCTGAGCCACTCAGTGCTCCTTGCCCTTCAAAGCCTTGCCTTCTCTGTCTGCGGATGTGTGGGCCCATCAGTAACGGGCTGCTCGTGGGTGTCCTTACCTGGCTCTTGTCGTTTCAGTGGATGAAAGATATGTGGCGCTCGGATCCCTGCTACGCAGATTATGGAGTGGATGGGTCCACCTGCTCTTTTTTTATTTACCTCAGTGAGGTGAGTCACTTCTCTGGCTCTGGGGTGTGGAAAGGAGTGGTTAGTCAGGTTTGCAGCTGAGCCTGGAATTCGAAAAGTCGAGAAATGTGTATTGTTTTTACATGGTAGACCTGTGGTTCCGTTCTTCATTATTTTCTCCGGCTTCTAAATACGATAATTCTTTCTTCTTTGAGGGAAACAACAAGCTGATGTAGTTATTTACATTTCCTTTCCCTGATTTAAAAAAAAAAATCTAGTAAAATACATGAACATAAAGTTTTCCATCTCGACCATTTAGGAGGAATTAAGTACATTCATACTGTGGTACAACCATCACCAACATCCATCTCCTGATAATTCATCTTGCAAACCTGACACTCTACCCATTAGACAGTGACTCCCTATTCCCCCCCTACCTCCAGCCCCTGAACACAACCATTCTAATCTGTCTCACTGATTTTTACTCTTCTCACTATTTGTATAATTTACATAGTACTTTCCTTTTTGTGACTGTCTTATTTCAGTTAACTTGATATACTCAAGTTCCATTCATGTTTATAGCCTGTCAGCATTTCCTTCATTTTCAAGGCTGAGTAATATTCCATTGTGTTACTATACCACCTTTTGCTTGTCCATCTATCCATTGATGATTACTTGGGTTACTTCCACCTTGGAACTATTGTGAATAATGTGGCTGTGAACATGGGTGTGCACACAACCCTTTGAGACTCTGCTTTCTCTTCCTTCGTGTGCATATCCTGAAGTGGAGTGGCTGAATCATATGGTAATTCTGTTCCTATTTTTTTGAGGAAACACAAACTTCTCCAAAGCAATGGCTTCATTTTCCCTTCCTCCCAGCAGTGAATGAGGGTTCCAGTTTGTCCGTATCCTTGCCAACACTTGTTTTCTGTTTGGTCAGAGTAGCCACACTAACAGGTGTGCAGTGGTATCTCCGGCGGTTTGGTTTGCCTTTTCATAATGATCAGTGACATTGAGCATCTTTTTCTTGAGTTTATTGGCTGAAGTAGGTATTTGCTTATAAGCTGAGCTATTTTTAGCTTTTTTAAAAAACCTTTAGCTGAGCCTTATTTTCATTTCTACCCTTAAATTCAAATAGCAGCTTTTTTTAAGCACGGTGTTGCATAGGCCACATGGACTTACTTGTAATACGCTTTGATGATTTCTGTTTCACCTTGAAGAAAATAGAGGAGTTGGGGCAAAGTTAAGACTGTATGGGGCGAGTACAGGAAAGAACTGAGTAGGGAGTGAGAAGCTGGCTTCCCCTCCACCCTTGACGGACAAAGGCAGCCCTAGGGGCTTGTAAAGTGGGTGCTGGCTAATTTCAGAGGCTGTCTACTGCGGTGTGCTGTTGCTATTTGACCAGTAGTTAATAATAGCTCTCTGGTGCTATAACACAAGAAAGAGAATGCCTCCATTTTGAAGCTAATGACATACTTCTGCTGTAATTTTCGTGTGAGCCTCAGGCGCCTCCCCTCTGTGTCACAAGGGGACAGGGGACAGCTTTTGGGGATGGAGGCCAAACCAGTATCACCACAGGGCACGTGGCCTTGAATTCTGTGGGGTTTGTCCCTTTCCTTTATCTTTATATCTCTTTCCCTTCTAAGAGCCACTCAGACTTTTTTTTTTGAAATATGGTTGCACCATGACCATCCCACAGCCATCATGAAGAGGCCTCAGCGCTAATGATAGTTAAATTATCTCTTGGAAATTAAAAGCACTGTGGGTTGGGTATGTGATGCTCCTCATTAGCATGCTGCTGGCAAATTAATTCTTTCTCATTTATTTGAGTGTGTTTTGGGCTGGGGTAAGCTACGGCCCACCTTCTCATTTCCTTCTCCAGAAAAATGAGACCTGGGGCCCTGGGTGAACCGGCACTCCAGTGAGAAGTCAATTAGAAGCACCTTTCCTGCCCCAAGGAAAAGGTTCCTCCTTCAGTTTAATTTTCAAAAGTTTCCTTCCCCTTTCCATTTGATAGAATTTAGCCAGAATCCAGCTGTGCTCCCTGATTGACAGACTGGGCTAATTTCACGCCTTCCTGAGACTTCTCACGTTGGGCATACTGCTGAGGTCCAGGTAGAGAATTACATCCCACTCCAGCCTTCCCTTCATCTCCCAAGCCAGAGCTGGGAATGTGTGGGAGAACAGTCCAGATGGGAAGGGACCACGATTATTTGTGACCTAGTTCTCTTCCTGTGAAATTGCCACCCAACTGCACTCGCAGTGGACCAAGGATGTGGCGAAGATGAGAACAGGAAGCCTCTGGGGAGTGTGGGGCAGCCGGGGCTGGGGACGGTGTGACAGATCATATGCTCTTGACCCTGGAGCCAGCGTGTCTCATTTTAGAACCTGTAACTATTTTTCCTCCTTCCAAAGTGTGGAATGGTACTTTCTTTGACTTTTCCTCTCTCTTCTCATGCAGATGATCTGTTGTTTTTTTTTTTTTTCTGTTCAGCTGAATTCAGTTCACTGATCACTTATCAAATATCTATTACATGCATCAGATGTCAGCAGTCGGTGAGAACTCTGTTTCTTGGCACCGTGATGTGCACTCAGGACGAGCCTAATGGAAGTGGAAGAATGGACGCAGGTAGTAGAGTCAGAGCAGGGCAGAGCGAGTTTCTCTGCAGACAGAACTCGGAACTTCTTTTTTAGTTTAAATCTGAAACCTTGGAACTCTGGCATTTAAAAAAAAAAAAAAAAACCAATTGCATTTTGAGTCTCCTGGGTGACTCAGTCAACTAAGTGTCTGCCCTCAGCTCAGGTCGTGATCCCAGGATCCTGGGATCGAGTCCTGCATCAGGCTTCCTGGTCAGCAGAGTCTGCTTTTCCCTCTCCCTCTGCTTCTCCCCCTGTTTGTGCTGTCTCAAATAAATAAATAAAAGCTTTTAGAAAGATTGCATTTTATTGTGGCATCTTAATCGGTACTCTGTAAGAGAATCTCACCACTGTGGCCTCTTGTATGGGAAAGACTGCCTTAGCACCTCATCGCTGAGGTCACACTGTCTTTGACGCTTTCTTTAAACACTATACTTCTGGACAAGTGACTTACCCTCTTGGCACCTCATGTTCTTCCTTTATAAAATAATGGTTTTAACTCCTCCTGAGTGTCTATGGGAATGTGCATAGAACAGAGCCAGGCAGATAGATGACACTCAGAAAACCCAGTTGGTGCTTGTGTGGTTTTTGATGTTGTCATTATTTGAGGACCATTTGGGGGCATTTTATACAGAGACTTGATTTTGTTTTACAATTAGAACCAATTTCTGGTTCTAACACTAATTTATTTTTAGATATTTGATTTCTGGTGATGTAGAAATGCAACTCGCTGTTCCCCTTGACTTCTTTTCTCTGCATATGATGCTTGTGTTTGCATTGGAACTGGGAGCTGGATCTAAGGACCAGCCGTGTACCCCTGCCCTTGTTAATTTGAAATGACTGGAGGTGGTAATAAAGCCAATTCTGGGCTAGTATTTTCCAAATCCTGAACAGCATCTGTGTCTTTATAGTGCTGTTTTTGGTCTAGATTTTTGTTTTGCTCTATTTTCCCTCTTCTTCTTGAAACCTTCCTCTTTTTGTTGTTTGATTCAACTGCCTGTCCTATGCCAGGTTTCCCTTGCCACCCCAAAAACAATGAAGGGAGGCATCTCCGGTCAACTTGTTTACTTGATCAGCAGATGTTCCGGTCACTTCTATTCTTTTCTTAATCCTCATGGAAGAGCCAGTTCTGGTTTCCATTTATGTTTAACCTCAGGACTTCAACAGAAACAAATGAAAAAAGCCACAAAGTAACTGTGGTCAGTCACCAGTTGAATCCAGACAGCGAGACTCCGCCCAGTCCTAGGGGATAGATGGCGCTCAGCTTTCTTTTTTCTTCCTCTTAGTTGTCTCAGTGTGCCAACTTCCACTGAATTACAGGGCTGTGAACTTCTGCGTGTGTACTCTCCAATTTGTAGTCTATACGTCCTTCTTGGTAAATCCCAGAATAAGCAGCCAGCAGTATTTCCCCTGAGGTTATACCCAGCGATGCTTGTGATGCGTCTGACGCTGGACCCAGGACTTCGTATGGTGTGAGTCCAGGCACTGCCCTTGTTAGGCGGAAGACAGAAAGAGAAGAATGACACATTATTGAGCCTCGGTGTATGCCAGACACCTCAAATACACAATCTCATTTATCCCCTCCACCCCCACTTCTGAGTAACAGCCAAATCAGAACAGCTCAGAGAGGCTAAGTGCTTCGTGGTCGTCTCCTTTGCATTACTGTTGCCCCTTCATGTCAAAGAAAAACAGAACTCGGGTAAGTAAGTGATTTATTACCTTTAACTTTGCATTCAGTTCTGGCTCCAAACCTATTGTGTTTGAAATATGGCTCTAATTTAGCTAGTTTGCATTAATCAGTCTTCATGGCCAGTTTTCGAATACTGAGAATTTTGATTCCCCCCCCCCCCACCAAAAAAAAAGAGAAACAACACTGATTCTCATGTGGATGTAACTCATGCAAGCCAGGTGCTCAGCCTTTTCAGGTGGTGGGAGTAAATGAATGTTTCATTAGGCAGCCTTGCATTTCCAGATCATCGGGCAGTTTATTTTCTGGATCTGTTTTTGCGAGCCATGTAACTACTCCTGTTACAGAGACAGGGCTCTATAAAGTAATTACTCTGTCATTGTTTCAGGTATATTAACTTGGCCCTCTGCAGAGCCTTTTCCCGCTAACAGATTTTATGAAACTTAGAATAAATTTCTTTCCCCCTGTTGCTATTACACTGGTAGATGGTGGTGACATACCGGACACCCACACATTTTTATCTCTTTACCCAATTACTTGAGCAACTCTCCATGCCCTTCTAGACTTCTTCATTTGTTTGTGCTTTTTTTTTTTTTAAACACTTCTGCTTCCGTTGCACGTATAGTTGCTGGAAAATAAGCAAATTGCCCAGCAATCGATTGCCGGAACTTAGGATATATACAAGCTGTTGCTTCAGACGCCAGTTTGGATTGGACAA